CTGGGAGGAGGGGTCCCTATTGGTGCTGACAGCCTCTGGTTGTGTGCAGAAGCTGGTCGGTGGATAGTGGCCAGGAATCCCAACCACTCCCCCCGCTCTGTCCGGCTTTTGCACGCGACCACAGGGCTCCCAGCACCAATCGTGGCTCTGCCTCCCAGTCGCTCCCCCACCCCCATCAGGCTTCCATCTGGCACCCAGCCAGAAATTCAGAAAATACCGGACATTGCACATGTCCAGTATTTTCTGAATTTTTTCTGAATACAGGATAGAGAGTGCAAATACTGGACTGTCTGGTAGAAAACCAGACACCTGGAAACCCTAAGTAATACAGATCTGTATGCAGGTTTCCTCTTATTTAATCCTTCCTTGAAAACTTTGATAAATGTTATTCAACTCAGTTATCTTTATCTCTAGGGTGGACAGAGTAACTTGCCCTGCTGCAACATGCTCCCGGTGACTAGACACTGACCTCTAGCCACTGCGAACAACCCATTCAGCCTCCCTTTCTACTTATAGCATCCCAGGTTTGGTCTGGAAAAATAAAAACTGCACCGACCTATTTGGAACCTAGCCAGGGGTATTCCTCAATGAATAGCTTCTGCATTGCCCCCTTCTCCCACCCCGGACTCCTGGCAAAGATAAGGCACACTCAGAGAATGCCACTGTGTTATTTCCTGTTAGCTTCTCCCTCATTTTATTTAACTCTATGCAATCAGATAGGATAACATTACACAGATAAACTGAGGTTAACATGGTATTTTAAAGAAATAATATAGATAATTCCCTCAGTTTCCATACTAAGTAATGAAGCTCTGAATAGCACTCATTCCTTCAGTTTTTTTCTTCCGAAAAAAACCCCCCTGAATTTTCAAGCACTCATGTGCATAAAAGAGGTGCTTCATGTCTTCTGACCAATCCATTTCCTTCACATTCCAACAGAGCCCCCACACTGCACATGGGATATCAACTGGGAAGGAACATAACACATAGCTGCTACTTCCATGAAAAATATAATTCTTGCCTCCTTATCACATGAACGATGCACATTTGATTTTTTTGTTACATACTCTCAACACACTTCCAAAATATGGCACATATTGACATTAAGCAATACTATCCATTTAAATAGTTAGAGAAGTCCAACAGTACTACTTTGCATTATATTTAAAGGATTGAAACCATAAAAATAAATGGAAGTTACATTATTGTGTTCCCTGGAGAAGAAATGTTTCTAGAAATCCAAGGCAGGCAGTGGAAAGTGTATGGAACTGTATTTCCTGTGTATAAAAAGCAGCTTTTCTAGAATACAAGAACCAGTGGTCAAAAGATATTGTATCTTTATCAGAATCCCTAGAGAGTTTTGCTTCTCAATAACATCATGAACTGAATATTCTTTAGCGTTGAAGTTTGGCTCGAGAAGTCAGCAAGATACTTTGCAATGAGGGGAAGTTTACTTACAATCTGTACAAAAAAAGGAAACAAAACAATCCAACACAATCCAAATAAACCAAGGTTTAACTGGTAAGATCCCTTTTACAAAGAAAAAACCCCAGTCAGTCAGTATGGAAACCAATATTCAAAGTTTCTACTTTTACAACCCATACTGCACAATTACTTTATAATATTTATTACAGGGTGTTTTCTAAATGGTATTCCTGAAGCAAACCATTGATTTTTAAGCAGATACTCAAAAAGAGCAGTGTCCAGTGAACCTTTGAAATAGATTCCTTCTTTTCTTGAACAGTGACAACATAGCCTTTTTCTCTTTCTGAGCACAAAGCACATAAAAGCTACTCCACAAAATAAAGTTTATTCAAGCAGTGAGGACAGCATCATGGACTCTGGGGGTAAAGGAAGTCGCCGTGTGCGCACGCACCCCCTCCTTCCCCTACGCAGGTGTTTGCTAAAATGTAAGTTGTTCTGTTTCCTGCAATCTCCTCCCCTACTGCCTAGATGGTCTTGTGTACTGCTAATATGTAAACCATGGGAAACCCACATTCTTTTGTTTCAGACATGTCTGTGTACCCAATCCCCCAAAGAGTCTGGTTTAAAACACAGTCATATTTTAGCATCTCTCTATAATTCTTAATACACCCTGCATACACGTCATGCAACATGATCAGTAAGTTATTAGTTTTCAAATGATGCCTCCAGGCATCTACAAGATTTCTATAAGACTATGTAATGTGTGAATACAGGGTTGCATCCATCCCCCACCCCCAGTCTTTTGTCAATTTAGTGGGTCAATGTGTCTATTCCTGGCTCTGTGTCTCAATAACCAACTGCCTCAAGAATGAGGACTACAGAACCAAAAAGGATATGACCAAGTTCCTGGATCTTAGCAACACTGATTCATGGTTGTTTTGAGCTAATGAGTAATCCTGGGAATCAGTAAATTGTAAGATCACATTTCTGGTCTGCCATCACATATTTCCTTCTCCATGTATCTCATAAGGAACGTCCAGCTAGCTGAAGTTCCATTTAATGTACTACTTTCTCATTCTCCAATCACCAATAATGTTTTCTAAATGTATATAAGAAGGGATATAAAAATGTGTTTAAAAATATAACCATGCAACCACTAAAAATCATAGCAGTTACACGTTTACATGCGCAGCAGGCCCTGCTCTTGGTGCGGGGGAAGGCTTCCTTGCAGACTCAGCAGCAGACTCTCTAGTAGCAGTCCCAGGGAGCCTGCGTGTATCCTGAGACAAGAGTGGGCTGGTCTGGGCCCATCACCACCAGAGGCTGCTCCAGTCAGCCTTACAGGGCTGAAGCAGCCCCCTGCCCAGGACAAGTGGGGAACTGCTCCAGCCCCTATCGGTTAACCAGAACGGATAAGCCTCACCTGTTAAAGGTGAGGCTTACCGGTTAACTGGTCAACCATTTACATCCCTAATAAGAAGTACTCAGTCTTTGTTCATTTGCTTTTATTGAAGATCTTAAGGTATTGGTCAACCATTTACATTCCTAATAAGAAGTACTCAGTCTTTGTTAATTTGCTTTTATTGAAGATCTTAAGGTATGTGTTGAAAAGTATTCTATACTTTGCTAAACTATGAATTTTTTCCCCTCAATGACAATTTAAGAGGGAGGAAAAAAGGTTGTTTTAGTCAACTCAAATTTATTATACTATGCTTTCTACAGAAACCTAAACCTGTTTACACTTGTTTCATTACTGAAACAGTTTTCTGGGAAATAGTAGAGAATTTTCATTTTAAGGGAGACATCATTAGCAAAAGCTTTTTATAAAATTTCCTGTTAAATACAGTTCTTTCTCTGAAATAAGAGACTACAGCCAGTACTAAGTGCTAATTTTAGAAACCAATCTAGTAACTTGTCAGTAATATTGACCTCCCCATGACCCACAGTAAAACAATAGTTTGGCATACAACACTAAAATAAGTACATGCCTGACATTTTAAGAAGAACATTTGCAGTATTTAAAGGACAACATTTTGGGGGTAGGAGGACTTGCCCATCATCAGTATATAAAAAGCTTTTCTCTGGTGTTTAATAATTCTTGACTTGCCTTCTTAAGTCAAAGCCTTCATTACTTTAAAGAAGAGTCATCAGCTTAAAAAAAGTTATATTTCTGTCTGAAAACTGTATATCTTCTATAGTTACAAATAGCCTCTAAAATTACTGATTCAAAAAAAATTAGCACAGCAAATTCCCTTTACAGTTTGTTACAACTTTATGCATTTGACTGAATTTTCTACACAGTTTTATTGATGGGCATTTGCATTTCTGGTCTCAAGCTGTAACACAATGACAGAAGACATCACGGCCATGAGCATCCCCAGGCATTGACATCCAGAGATTATTTACCAGTGATGCAACTCAGCATTTGTGTTTCAGAGTTTAGAAGTAGAGGGAGGTCACCCCTCCCCAAGAGGACTGCATGTAGCTAGTAAACAGGAACCAAAAATAGCTAGAGAAACATCCTTCTTTCCTTTCCTTTCCTTTCCAGATTCTAAAATCATTCAAAGAAGGGGACTAGCAGAGATTGCCTTTGTTTCTCAGACTCCTGCACAGAGTAGAAAAAAAACCCAAAAAACAAAAACAAAAAACCCACCAGTATCCTGGGATGTGGGGGAAGCAGTCCTTCACACCTCCAGGCTCTTGCTAGGATCTTCAAGAGCAGTTCAGAGATGCGGGTAGGCAGGAAATGGTGGTGCATGGGGAAAACAATAGCAAACCCAAAGAGGGTTGCCAGGTGTCCAGCACTGAATCAGACAACCTGGTATTTGTGCCTTCTGCCCTATAAAAAAAATTCAGAAAATACTGGACGTGTAAAATGTCCAGTATTTTCTGTTTTTCCCGGCTCGGGCGTCCGACAGAAGGGTGCTTGGGACATAGGGTGCAGTTCGGGCTGGCTGGGGCAGGGGGAGGGATGGAGCGGCCTGGGAATTAAAGGGGCTGCGACTGTATTTCGGCCCTGGTCAGTTTTTAGGGGTTCCCCCCCCCAACAGAATTTTTTCCCGGTGTGTTTTTTTTTGGGGGGGGGGGGGATTTTTTTTAAATCATCTGGCAATCCTAAACTCAAATACGATTTTTGAGAAGATGCTTATAAAAATCAGATGCTGAAACATTGTAAATTGTCAAGAGTTACTACTGAAAGTGTCCCCCATCATAAAACTTCTATTATTGAAACCAATTTTTAAAAAATTCCATGTTGAAAGTGGCCCTTTAAGTGATCTAGTTCTTCATAATAAGCTAATTATTTAGATGTGAGGATAGGAAAAGGCTACATGAGGCCATAATATTTCACAGGACTGTGGCTTGTCAAGTCAAAGTACTGGAAAGCAAAAGGATTTACAGTCCCAGATAGGGATGTAAAATCCCATTTAACTGGTTAACTGATTTAAGGGGAGGATGAACAAAGGGGCTGCCCTAGATAAATCAGCCCCTGCCTATAGGGTGACCAGACCCTTCACCAACAAAGGCTGCTCTGCCAAGCCAAGCTGGAAAAGCCCCTGTCCACAGCAGCCCCACCCCAGGGAGAGAGCAGCCTCCTACCTGCAGCCAGAGGGGAGCTCCTCCAGCCCCCACCAATTAACGGTCACCGGTAACCCTCACCTACTCAGGGTGAGGCTTACTTTGTTACCAGTAAAACAGTTAAACATTCACACCCCTAGTGCCAGGACTAGAGTTCTCACTTCCACAAGTTTTATTTCAGTGGAATTTCTTCTGATACACACTGTGCCCGGGGAGAATCAGACCTGCATTCTCTCTCAGCATGTATGACTGTAAAAATGTGAAGTTCAAAGGCATTTAGCAACAAACTGATAGGAATATAAAATATGAAGTGGTGAAACTTATTTTTTTCCCCAAGTGAGTTACTTCCATGTCTGCCTCTTATTACTCAAAAGGATGAAGACCCAAATCACTCTCATCTAACTACATCAGAGGTAGGCAATAATTTTGGTGGGGGGGGGGGCACTTCACCAGTGTTAATAGTGGTTGCGGGCCAGCCCTGGAAGGGGCAGGACCTCAGGTGAAAGGGGCAGTTCCCTCTAGGCAACTCGGCCAGTGGGGAAAGGAGACTGTGTGCTCCCCCATAAGGTGGGGGAGCATGGGAGGTCTCTCCCACCCCCACTCCAGGCAGGGGCACACAGCACCTAGAGGGAACCACCAGCTGTTTTGAACAGCTGGCAATTTACTCTGGTGATGCATGTCCCTGGCGGGGGGGGGAGGGGGAAGACTTCGCGCGCTCCCCTGCCCGGGGGTCTTGATTGGCCTGGGGTCAGGGCAGGCTGCGAAACAGATCAAACAGCTGGGTTGGCTGGATCTGAAAGATAGAAGTAATTCCCGAACTACAGACATAGGGTACATTTTGTTTTCCTAATTTCTTCCCACTTTCAGGGGCAGACTGAAATAATTTGTTAGTTTAGATCCAATACTTCCATAAAAATCTGTGTGGGATGGGGACATTCATTTACCATAGGATATTTAGAGAAGTATAATTTTAGATCAGTAATATTAAAGGGCTTGATTTATCCTGTGCTTATCTGAGGGATTGTAGCAGCAATAGCAGAAAGATTCCAAGCAGCCAGAGAAAATAGTACAGGAGTCTTATGCTGGTACAAAAATAATGGATTTTAAAATAGATAAGACTAATGTAAAAAAAAAAGTGCTTGCAAAAAAGCAATATATTTACAAAACAGTCTGTAGACAGTTTTTGTGGAATGATGTGTTCTCTTCCTTATTAAAGCCTAAAATCAAAAATATCACTGGATTCACTCAAATCCCAAAGCATGTCTTATCCAAGTTAGTCAATAATAATGCAATTCAGTCTAAATTTACTCTTCTGTGTTTGTTGCTACACAAATTCAAAAGCCATGGAAAATCCTATATACTTAAACCTAACTATTAAGAGATATCCTGTTTGCAATGAGGTAACACCTAATTTTTCTTTTCCATGAGGAAGTGAACTTCATATTGTATCAACATTTCTAAACTGCACTGGAATTACTCTTCCTGTTTAGAAAATAAGGTTTCCCAACCCAAAGTTAAACTCTTCTTCTGACCACACCTTATTCAAAATTATTTTCATGATTTCCCCCTCCCCCCACCTTAAAATGACTTCTAAACATTGAACCAACTTCCAATTTGTAATGGAACACAAGGGAAGAGGAAAATTGCATTTTGTAGTACATCAGTCTTGTTTAGATAATGCAAGAGGAATTCAGTGGAGATACATAAATTGAAAGTAGTTGTCATGTACTATGGTTTGATGAGAACTAACATGAAAAAGCAATTGTGACAACTGCAAATATTTTAAAATTATAATATATGTTGCTAGTGCTAGTCAAAAGCAAAGATGTGCTAAGCAGGACTTCTATGAAATAGGCAATGTTTTCCCCATTATACAGATCAAGATCTGAGGGGCAAAAGCTGGTACTGTAAATATTAGCTGAGTTCCTAGTGAAGTCATAGAACCACACCAGGAAAGTTACCAAAATCTCTTGGGCTTCAGCCAATGCCTGAACCACAAGAATATAATTTCTTCATAGAGCTGAATTTGAGAGAAAGCTAACAAGTAAGTGACATGGAAACTCAAAACCAAGATGGACCCATCAGTCAGAATCACACATGGCCATTGCTAGTCTTCCTCATTTCAGAGGCAAAAAGACTTATTTCTGGTATTGCTTACCATAAGGAAAGACTCATTTTTTTTCCCCTCATGAAAAAGTGTTTTGCACTTTGGCTCATGTGTGAACAATTCTAAAGCATATTCCCATTAGGAATGGATGCGAGGTGAATATATCAAATAAAGAATACAGCACCTTAATACTATCAGATATTACACTGCAGTGATATTTTAAAAAATGCTACAGATCTCAGTCACAGCTGAAAACTTCCTTATCTGTATGACGTGTTTGAGAAAATTTATTTAATCTCACCAGAGACTTTTGCATCGTCTATATCCAAAAATATTACATTAACTGGGAAGTGCAAGGGGAGCTACAATATAAATTTCAGTCACATTATTTTAAAATGTACAATTTATAAAATATTTTATAATGCTAGATGCACAAAAAGAAAGCTTATAAATAAAATAAATGTTATCTGAACAAAATTTACTCTCAGTAAGAGCATCTGTGCAAAACCCTTCTGTTTCACTTACTCCTTTTGTAGATTGATCCAAGCCTATGGAAGTCAATAGATGTCTTCAGGAAGGAAGGGAGTCTGAAGGAAACCCTATTCCAGCCTATGTACTTGAGAGGAAAAGGCATAGATCTTCATCCAGGCAGGTGACACGTACAGAAGCCGAATTTCTAACATTTCACATGGATGCATGAGATGTTGAGGGAGGAGAACAGAGAGTCTCAGAGCAAAGTGGGAGAGAGAGAGAGAGAGAGAGAGAGAGAGAGAAACCCTGGTCCAGACAATAGTAGAGACACCCTAGCAGACTGGCCATTTAAGCAATTAAGAAAATCCCCCCACTTTTCCTTTGTTGGTTTATTCAAATTTGCACAGCAACAGGGATGAGATGATCTGCCTGCCTGAAACTGAAGAGACCGACAAAACACAACAGCTTCTCAGAGGTGGAACCAAGTCCCCTCTGTCACTGATTGACAGATATTGTCTCCTTCTTAGGCTACCCAGAGCAGAGCCCCAAATGTCATGGATCTGTGTACCTTGTTATGAATAAGACAGACAGACTTAAACACATGCTTAATTTTAAACACTATTTCCTATTGCAGTTGAGTCATGAGGAGCAGGATTAAACCAACACTTAAATCTTTCTAGGTTTAGGGTCTTGCACCTTACCGAGAAAGAATACGTGCAAACCTCAGTTTCCATTTAATTTTTATCTGTATAACATTTTCTACCAGGTAAGACTGTTCTTGCTACTACATCTATGTTCATCTGTAAATATTACAGCAAAAGATGAATGCTATTATATTACAATACAAGTAAATCCTTTGTGGGTTTGAAAAGTCATTTATGTAACTCTCTATTAAGCAATAGCTAAGCCTCTTTATTTTTTAAGACATTTAAGGGACCATTACCTGATAATTTTACTACCAGAAATTTCGAATTATGTAATAAGCATACAGTATACATTTTGGAGGAAAAATGTTTGATATGAACTGTCAAATGTTATGACAAATAATCCACAAACAAATTATCCTCTTTTATACAATGACAAACTAAAATCCATTTCTACCTTTGAAACAGATACCATTCTTCACAGCAAATTCAGCATGAAACTTGATCTCAGACCAGTTCAAATAATTCTGAAAGAGCCCAGTTGACATTTTATAAATACACCCACAGCAAAAATAAATTTAAGGAGGCGCAGTGTAAAACTGTGGGCTGCCAGCTTCTTCTGAACACACTCCAAAATCAGCTGCACATTTATCAAAAGGGGTAGAAAGCAGTTTCAAAAATTGTGGCAAACAACAGCAACACTTACTCTCAGAAGTAAGGGTCTGCAGTCCCGGGAAGCAGTTACAGACAGACAAATCTTCATTATGTGACCTGACTAGTCAAGTGTTAACTTTATATCTTAAGTTTTCAAAACACATAGATTCTGTTTTCAATTTCCTGTATATTTTCATTTTAAAACAGGCGATATTTGTTCAGATCATTTAGGCAGAGCAGGAATTCTGCTGATACAGTAAATCAATTATTTCCATTTCAATAAGGATGTAGTAAGATAGCAGGCAGCCCCCATGAGTTCCTTTGGAAAAAGG